ATCATCATCATCATCATCATCATCATCATCATCATCATCATCATCATTATCATCATCATCATCATCAATATCAACATCATCATCATCAATATCAATATCATCATCATAATTATCATCATCATCATCTTCATTATCATCATTTTAATCATCATTGCAATCACTTAAAAATGAATAAGTGTATATATTTTGTCTCGCGAGGACGTTAAAATGAGTTTTAGTTTGTTTTTTGTTTGTTTGTTTGTTTGTTTGTTTATAATAATATACTGGAACTCACAAGCACTATATGCCGTTGTACGTCGAGGTATGAAAGAATTGGGTGCAACAATTGGATTGACATTAAGTCGCCCATCCTTCCGTAATCCTGGACCGTTTCATAAGCGGTCCATTTTCATAATCCGAACTATTTCCCCCGTTGGCAGCATTAGCAGGATGACTCGTCGTTCTGATATCACCAACTGTCCCACTACCCGGGGATGGTAGATTTGTTGGGGTTATGCTACCCGAGTGGGATGGTGGTGGATTACTGCTTGGTCTGCTAGATACTAAATTTAATGTCTGAGGGCCGGCATGTGATACGTGATGCGGGGGTGGACCACCTGTACTAGACGAAGGACCAACATTCAAGTTTGTATGATGCAAATTACTGGCATTACTTGGCCCTCCACTTGAACCACTGTTACCTCCTCCGTGCGGATCTCGTGGTGGACTTATCGGTTCACTTTTTATTTTCACTGGCAACGGTGACGTCGATGGTGGCGGTGTGCTACTTGAGACAGCTAAATGAGGAAGACCGCTGTAATATCGAAAATACATCTCAGTTTTTCAACTTTGTTTTTACAATTTTTTTTTGTTTTTCCGTAATTTTCTGGTTTATATTTGTCAGTTAAATAATCTATTGAAATTTGTTACAATTTGATAAATGTTTTTAACTACCGTTGTTCTTGTTAATTTAATTCGTGACTTTACTGATAAGCTGATTAACAAGCATATGGTCTATGTATCGAACGAACGATTAATTATTAACATATATGACACGAACTGAAAGTAAGTGTACATGCATATTAGTAAATGATTCTAATAGAAATCCTTTAGGAGAAAATTTGTTTTTATTTTATTCAAATGGCATGCCAAACACAAACTTTTTCGAGAATAAACTATAAAACTTCCAGTGGAATTTTTCATAAATAAATAATATATCGTAACGTAACACTGAAGTTTCATCCACGTCTTATTAAAAATCTTGGAATTTATGAATCTAAGTCAAGTTCATACCCATCTGGATAGGAATAGTTTCTTTTCGTAAGAATAATTATGAAACATGATTTACCTGATGCTGGACATGGTGGCTGCCGAATACATTGATAAGTCATCAACGTACCTCTGATGAGACCATGCAAGACTTCCTAGATCAGAGGAATAATCCGTGGGACCAAAACTGGAATATCCAGCTGGTACTGAAGGTGTCTGTAATGCTACTACCGGTGTATTCAATGCAGATTGTGTGTGGCCGCTCTATAAAATCCCCGAAAACATCCCAAATATTATCATCTCACGACATAAAAAAACGTATAATAAAAAAATAATAAAACGATTTAAATACTTCGATCAAACTCTTTTATTTATTTATATAATTAAATCTTTTATTTATTTAGCATTGCTAATATAATTAAAAAAGAAACAATAAAGTTATATAGTAATAAAATAATAAATTAAAAGGATTATTGTGTGTGTGTGTGTGTGTCATTATTAAAAGACTATAAGTAAGTAGTAGGTAATAATACTCACGTCATAATTGGTGTCTTCAGAAAGTGGTTGTGTGAGTGGTGTCGGAATAACTACTCGAAGGTTAGCTCTGTGAGGATGTGGTGGTGGTGGAGGTGGTGGTGGTTGTGGTGAATGCCTTGATGGATTACTGCCTTTATTCGCGCTACCTCCACCAACTCCAAGTGCTGGTGAAGGTCCTGGACTAGGTGATCCACCTAACGGAGAAGCTGATGGAGGATACCCATTACTCATTTCTAACATTCCTCCTGGTGGATAAACTATAAACAGGTAAACATGTAAACACATTATTATCGATTAAATTTTTATCTTATTCTTTTTTGTTTTATGTATTTTTTTTATCATTCGAATATTAACCTGAATCTGTTTCAGAGGATGAAGGTCTGGGAGAAATGCTGGTATGTGCCATTTGAGGACTAGATCCAAGTAGCGATTCACCATAACTATTAACTGGCACAGTTACTGGTAATGTGTAATTAGATTGTCCCATCCCCTGTAATCAAACATTATACATGTAATTTACTTTCTGCATTCATCATGGCAAGTTCATGAAAATCACTAATCTTAGACCGGTTTCCACTCAAACTTTATTACTCTGAAAATGATATCTGATATGGAGTAAAGATATGATCGAATGAAAATGATATTCTCTTTTGTTGATTCATAAAAATCTTACGTTTTTAAATTATAAATTTTAGTTGAATAAAATGATACTTTTATAAGTAGTTATGCATCAATTCAATTAAAAAAATACAAAAAATATTTCTAACAAATAAAGTATTTAATTATTTATTTAGATATAAAATACTTCAAATTACTCAACAAGAGACCAAATAATAATTGGACAATAAACTACTAAAGAACAACACCTAATCGCAGATTCATTTAATTTAATTCATTTAATATCGTATATAAAAATATTACAAATTAATTATCAATCAATCTAATAATAATTGGACAACAAACTCATATTTACAAATGATTCATTTACCAAGTTATGCATACAAATATTTCCAATACACTTTTTAATCAATTATTTACTACGAAAAAAAAAAATTAATATCGCAAAAATGAATTATCAACCAACCCACAATCAACCAATCAAACTAAATAAATCAAAATAAAAATGAAGAAAAGAAAAGGAAAAAAAATTGAAAGAACGTTTTGCGAGAAAGAAATAAAAATTTGCATGTGATTTGATTACGTATGGGGATCACGTACCCTTGTGCCATTATGCTGGTGCCTCTGCATCATCATCTGAAATTCTTCGTCGATCTTGGTGTATTTGGCCTCGGTACGCGGGGTAAGATTATACTCGATCGCGTCGGGTTCCGGACTCTCCGGAGACATGGCACCCTTATGTTCCTTCTTGTTGAGCGCCTGCAAGTGTCAGCAGACAGGTTCACGTGACCACACCGCCCGAGGGCACTCAACCTTCACATGCACATTAATTTAACACTAACACACATATGTACGCGCGCGCGTACATATTCCTAAGCGCTTAGGTGGAAAGACGTTCGACCTCGCGACGAATGTATTCGCAGGTGCAAATTATAGGTGTGCAACGATAGATAGAAAGAAAGAAAGAAAAAAGAAAGAAATAAAAAAAAAGCAAAAATAAAAATTAATACTCAAGATATGAACACGTAATTCCTATGAGTGACATCGTCCTTACGCTTCAAGTACAAATTGCTAAAGGAAATGAGTATTAAAGAAAAAAAGAGAATAGAATTATTAAATACACTCAATTATTGTCTCGATTAAACACTATACACACTTTGTTCGAATAGAATGTTTAATTTTTTCTTCTTCTTTTCTTTTTTCTTTTTCTTTTCAAATTTATTTCCACATATACGCGAATTATAATTAAAATGTTATTGAAAATAAATTATATANATATATATATATATATATATATATACTTTTTTAATAAACGTTTGAACAAATTTTACCTTTCAATCAATTCCGACGACATTCGTTTTATAAATAAAAAAAAAAAGAAAAAAAAAATAGAAATTGTGTAAATGTTTGAATTGAAACAATTAAAATCTGTTAAACGATTATTATATTCTACAAAATTATGTTTGACCAATTTGTACGGTAAATTATGTTCGTACTAATACTGCTAATTACTTTCTCTCTTTCTTTCCTGTTTTTTTTTTCATTCAAAATTTATTTCCTTTTACTTTTCTTGAATAAATCATTTGTGGATAACGACCTTGCGAATACCATGACCTACATCGAATGATTTCCAACATTTCACGTATTTCTCATTACCTTACACATCTATCTATTTTCCCTGTGTATGTGTTTGTGTTATAATAAAATAATAATATTCTATTCATATTTATGAATCATTTAACAATGTCGCGAGGACGTGTTTCCACGTGTTTCTTCGTTAAATTGTTCAAATTGTATAAATTTGGATTTTAATGATCGTAATAAGAAAGAAGGATGATTCGTCGAGAGTAGATAACACGATAATGTTCATTTGTTAAATAAAATCATGAAAAAGATGGAGAAACACGTTTTCGCCTCTAAACAGACATCGATCCTTCTTCAAGTAAAACCTGTTCCGACTTTATGATCGATTCCGATCCGCTTCGAGGAAGACGTTTTGTAAGAGAGTGCACTTCCACTTGGGCCTTGGCATTACCTTTCGCAAGAAGAATTTAACGATCAACCGTGTGTGCCTGCTAACTCTTTTAAACATTCGAATCTCCTATCTCAATTCCCATGCATCTCCATCTTTCCATCTCTCTCTCTCTCCCTCTCTCTTTTTTTTCTTTTTTTTTTCTTTTAATTACCGAATTTTAATTCGTTGCATTACTTTTTTTTTTAATAATTAATAATTTTATTTAATTCCGGGAGTCTTTCTTTTCTTTTTTTTTTATTTTATTCCATGTTTTTTAATCAGTGAATTTTACATGCTACCTCTTTTACGTTTTTCTCGTTGTTAAATATTTGTATAAACGCTAAAGTAAATTCATTCATTTATTTATTTTTTCCTCTCTTTTTATTTTGATATCAATTATTTAATTAATATTTTATTGTTTCTTTTGCACAGCGGGCTATGGTTTTATTAAATTATATATTATATCATTTGTTTTATTGTCTGTTTATATTGTGTACGTGTTTAATATTATTTTATTTGTATTAATTAATGAAGTTTATGCTTTATCATTATTTACTTCGTCCAATATTATTACTAACATATATATATCTGTTTATTTTTCCTTCTCTTTTTACATTGAATTAATACTTATTAATTATATTCAAAGCACGAAGATCAATATGATGAGTAGAGCTTATATAACCATACGAACTTAACGAAATTTCATTTCAATTAATTATTCGAATACTTGATATTCTCGTCTCAAAATATACTCACGTTTCGATTTTTAATTAATTCTTTGATATAACAAATTTTTTTTAAAAGGATCACATTTAATGAAATTCCTATCGAAATTCCTAATATTTATCGATCGTATGATTTAAGATTTTACTTTAAACATTTTTAAAAAGCTCTCGTTACGTAAAAGAATCGATTATAATAAAAAATAAAAATTCATTCAATCAAATTCCTATATATAAAATTTATATTGTTAATAATTAATTATATTTTAAAAATTAAAATGTTTTATATATACGCCTGCGCTAATTTTATTACTAAAAAATCAAATAATTATAAATTTTAAACTAATATCTTCTTACTTGTTAAACACGAACATAATTAAATAACCTACTCTTGATAAAATATCTAATATGTAATTTTTTTCCTATATAACCCCAACTCGTTAATGTACAACACCTACACAAAATTGCATAATAAAAAAAAAAAAAATTTTTAATTTTATTCACTTTTTATTTCTCTCATTTATGAATCAGTAAAGATATATGATTGAAATTGTATAAATTATTGTATAAATTATTTCTAAAAAAAAAAAGAAAAAAAGGACCGAATGTATCGCGTTAACTATTCCTACAAAGTGCAGCGGATAAATCGACTCACCTCGATGATATTCTTGTTGGTGAGGGACTCATGGGGTTCGTTGTACTCTGTATACTTGAGAAGAACCTTGTCCATGTCGGTGCTCGCATACTGGTACAGCTTGTTGCTCGAACTGAAGATAATCAGTGCAATCTCGCAATCGCATAGTACCGACAATTCGTACGCCTTCTTCATTACCCCGAATTTCCTCTTGTTAAAGGTCACCTAGTGTGCAAACAGAGAAATCATTTATGGCTAATGTTCTACTCGCTTATTTCGTCCAATTAAATTAAATCTTCTCTAAGCGTTTTATGTATAAGTAAATTACGTTTAATTCATTTAAATATATACAGTAGAAATTTCATAATTAATTTATTTGAAGAAAATATTATGTGTATATAGGTGGAACAAGTTTCTTAATTAAAAAAAAAAAAATTATTTTACAATTATTACAAAATAATTAATGTTAAAAAAAAATGAAGAAACTTTATGAAAACTTAATTTACTTTTTTTTTGTGAATTAATTTTTACAATCGCTAAACCACTTTGGTCTAACCAGACTATTTCAATGTTAAAATTTAATACATTTTGAAAGATACCACAAATTTAATATATTTATTTTTACAAATAATAAAAAAAAAAAAAAAAGAGAAAAGAAGAGAGTAAAATATAATAATAAAAAAAAAAACCAATTTCAATAGAGAGCAGGACTTTAATTAATTTTGTTAAACACTTCAATTGATTTTAACTTTGATTAAACATTTGTTTTTCTCTTCGTTAGAAATTAAAAAAAAATATATAAATTCATATATTAACACACATTAAAAAAAAAGAAAAAAAAGAGAGAGGAGAGAGAGAGAGAGAGAGAGAGAGAGAGAAAGAGAAAAAAGAAAGAAATTAAATAAATTTCGCAAGTTAAAATGGAAATCAAGAAACAGAGATTGGAAAAAAGGAATAAAACATGAAATACGATTGAAATGATGGAATATCGATTTTCCATTAATCATTATTCGCAAATACCTGACGGTTTCGTTCGTCCGTGATGCGCGAGATCTGAATCTTCTTCCGACCCATTGTTGCACGATGTCGTCGAGAAGAAAGAGTTTCTCAGAACCACTAGATGGAATATTAAAAACGCTGAAAACGAAATAAGAAAAAAATTACGTTAGCAACGTTCCCACACTTACACATACACACATTTGCTTACAATTTTATAAAAAAAGAAAAAAATGATATATACACAAAAAAATATAAAATTTTCATCATTGAAAGAAAGAAAGGAAAAAAGAAAGATAGAAAGAGGGAGAGAGAGAGAAAATGCAGATTCGATTTAAAAATGCAAAGCGTATGCGACAGAACTAGACCGTCACTTTAAATTCTAACGTTGAATAGAAGGAAGGCTTTTGCACGTGTCTCGTCGTTCTTTTACGTATCGATTCGATATATCCTTCGGTGTGCATGCATACAAGTCAACGCGACTAGTTTACTAAAGTTTGGTAGCACTTTGAACAAAAGGCAGTGTATGATCAGTCGATTCGAAAAAAAAAAAAACAAGAAAAAGAAAAAGAAAAAAAAATTAATTCCCTCTGAATAAAAATTGCAAAGGGTGACCATAAGCAAGAAGAACAGGTTTTATATAAAGCAAAAAAAAAAAAGAAGAGAGAAAGGTAGCAAGAGAGAGAGAGAGAGAGAGAGAGAGAGAGAGAGAGAGAAAAAATTACGAAAGAAAAATTAATTAAACATATTTAATTAACTTCACAAATAATCTTTTCCACCTTCTCTCTTCTCTCTCCTTTTTTGAATCATTACGATTAAATATCACAAAGTTTATAATATGAGAAAGTAGAGAGACACGATGAATTAACCGAATGTATTGGAATATTGTTGGTTACACGACCTTGAGATAATATTGAAAGAATATAAATGCGAGAGAGAGAGAGAGAGAGAGAAGTAACACAAATAAAATCGACGCATTTATGTTGGTTTGTCCCGAGAAAACGCATAATGATTTAACTCTGTCGCGTTGTTTTATAATCGTCGTATTAGAAAGGAAAAAAGGAATAAAAAAAAAAAAAAAAAAAAAAAAAAAAGATTTGAAGGAAGTAGAAAAATAAAGAGAAAAAGAAAAAGAAGAAGCGTAAGANTTGTTTTATAATCGTCGTATTAGAAAGGAAAAAAAAAGAGAAAAAAATATATGCAAAAGCAAACAAATAAAAAGAATAGGAGGAAGTAGAAGAATAAAGAGAAAAAGAAAAAGAAGAAGCGTAAGAAAACAAAGTTAACAAAAAATTAAAATTAAAATACCGAAGGAGGTGGATAAGAACAAGGAAATAACAACACAACATAGTTGCATTCTATCTCGTCTATCAGTTAAACAAGTAAATTGCAACCATATATACGTTTTATCTGTAAGATATAAGTAACGTTAATGTTCATGTAGAGTGCATATTTACAAGTATCATTATAAGAAAGAAAGAAAAAAAGAGACAGAAATATAGAACGTTTCTTTTTCTAATATATGATAGAAAAAAAATGTTAGAACGCGACAGACAACTACTACATACACATAAACGTTCGCGCGCATCTTTATAGAAAAACGACAAAACTTGTTATGCTAATCGCGATAATTCACGCATGTTATTTAAATAGTTTCGCTTTTGTAACTAAGCAATCAGTTTCAATTTAGTTGACTTCTATTTTCTACTTCTTCTTCTTCTTTTTTTTTCTATTTTTTCTTTTGTGGATAATTTTATCCTAATCCTTCATCTCGATGACAAAGATTCATAAAAGTAAACAATTCTTCGTTTATTTTTATATCATTTTTTTTCTTTCATTTTTAATATAGATATCATTAAAATTAATTGAACGATTAATTAGTTAGTTTCATATTTGAGTAATGTTAGAAATAAGTTAAAGCATTATTGAAAAAATATCTTTTTCTCGAAATGAATGGAAGCTCGCAAAGCAAGACTCTTTTTGTTATCATTTCTAGAGTAAAATTTATTAACTGCTCATTGACATATCAACGTGAAAATGTTAAAGGCTATCTTTTTTCCCTTACCAACGAACCGTTCTATCGTTCATTTCTACATTGTTCCTGTTGAATCATGTTCAATATAACGTCCTTTCTGTCTTTTTTCTTTTTCCTTGATCGGGGATAATGTAAATAATCATCAGAGTTTTATTGAAAATTTTCAAGAGAAAAAAAAACAAAAATAAAATAAGAGAAATGTCGATCGATTCGAAATACGAGCATTGTTTTTCATTGGTTTTTCTTCGAATAAATGAAACAATTAAATCGACTTCTTTGTCTTTAATAAAAATTTAGATACAAGACGTCTAGCGAACTGATCTCCTACCAGCAGAATTACGTAATCTTTTTTATCTTAATTACAAACGACTTCATTGCATTATCGTGTATGATGGTTCGAATACACATACATATACACAGGAGGACATACATGACTGACGTTGGTGAAGTCAGATCGAAAAGAATGAAAAAAAAATACTATTCCATCCTTTTTTTTCTTCTTTATTTTCTCTCTCTCTCTCTCTCTCTCTCTCTCTCTCTCTCTCTCTCTCTCTCTTTCACTTTCTCTCTTTTTTCTTTTCTTCTTTCTCGTAAGTATGAAAGTAGAGATAGTGATAATTGATTGGACCCATAAATGTAATCAAGCTGTAATAAGCCAACCATGACAGAAAGAAGAAAAAAAAAACTATCCGAATGGGAATATTTTTTTTTTTGTAAACGTGTAAATATTTTTCTTCTAGGAAAATATTTTTTATCCGTCTATCAATCTCTCTATCTATCTATCTATCTATCTATCTATCTATCTATCTATCTATTTATTTGTCTATCTATCATGATAAGACAATTCTTATAAGCATATAATAACTAAGTTGTTATGGTTATTTTTTTTAAATTACAGTGTGTATTAAATATTTATAAACTTGTACAATAAAGTTTCATAATCCAAACAAATATAAATAGTATTAAAATTAAAGTTACCATTAAAAGATGAATATTTTGTGACTCCTATAATAATTTAACAATTTGGAAAAAATATGCTTTTGGAATTATCGGAATTTTGGATTTAACTACCAGACTTTTATAATAATTTTATGATAAAAAATAAATCAAAATGTTTATTACTATTAAAATTGTATAGGCATTGTTGGATTAACTTGTAAATTATACAATTTGTAATAATTAAAAGTTGGACAAAAATTATAGAGGGAAATTTATACATGAAAGTTAAACTCCAAATACAATCGCGACTAGTTTAGATATTTTAAATATCGTACACCACGTTAGTGCTTATATAAACAGTAGAAAAATCGTTCCACCGTCATACAATGTTACTCTTGGAAGTGAGCCCATGCCAATCAATTTTCTCCTGTTCGCTTTGGCTCGTTCTAACCTTTTTGGGATAAAGCAAAGTCTCGTTTTATTTTCTTTCTTTTTTGTTTTTAAAAATTCATGTCTAAAAGCAATCCTTGCTTTTAATTCAATTTTATCAACAACAAATTAACACGCTAGAACAGCAAAAAATAAACTAGTCAAAATAACTAGTAGAACAAATACCCCATAATTTTTATGTTATAAACAATTTCAATATTTTTCGTTTAAGCATCGAATAAAAATCAAAAAAATTGAAAAATTTAAATAAAGTATTTCATTATTTAGACCGATTTGATCCAAAATATGGATATATAAATTTGTACTTAATTCTAATGTTGAATAAAAATAAATACAATGAAAAGCACAGATAAAAAGCTCTTCTTCTATAATATTACTTCCTCTTTCCTTTTTCTACAATCTAACTCTGTCCCGACAGTTCTAAAGGGAATAAGAATATTTATTATTTAAACAGATTACGATAAAAATAGATGTAAATAAATTTCTAATATATTGATTCTAATATTAAAATAAAAAAGAAAGAAAAGAAAACATATATGTAATAATCTACTTTTACTTTTTCTTTCTTTTTATATCCAATTCCTGTTCAATTCTGAACAGAATAAAAATAATAATAACAACAACAACAATAATAATAATAATAATAATAATAATAATAATAATAATAATAATAAAAAGAAAAAAAAATAGTTCAACTCTAGGTTTACTTTCTCTTTCTTTTTCTTCCTCGTGTGTAACACAGCACACTCTACTACCACCTAGTTCCTAGTAAAAGAGAATTCTCTAGTAAGGTAGGACGGTGCCTCTTCTATCGAAACTATCGATCAAGAGAGAAGAGAGAAGGCTTCGGCGTGGTATCACGTGGGAAGAATTCAGCATGGGGGCAAAGCGCGTTCTATGATGTAGAAGCTAGGCGGAGAGGAAAGGGTGAGACAAATTATTACACTTCACCGTCATTACTATGCCCTAAATGCGTAATACACGGTTCACGGTATATAGGAAAAGACCTTTCCTATACGGCAAATGAACGGCCATAAAGGCTATCCTTGCGGGTCTCTCTTTCGTAGTGATAACAGAGTTGCTTCTCTTTCTTCAAAGAACGACGAGACACCCCAAACACGATACACTCCGAAAAAATCAGCCCGAGATGACCAGATTTTCTTTTTATTTATACACTTTAATACTTCGTCGATTAAATTTATTTAACGGTTAAGCAGATTCTGTTTTTATCATCGTCATCATCATCATCATCATATATATATATTTGTTTTAATTGTGAGAAAAGGGATTTGGAATTGTTCAATGGTCAAATTGAAATCCTCGAAGAAATTATATTTGTTCGTTTCAACATTACAAAATGAAAGAGAAGAAGAAGAAGAAGAAAAAAGGAAAAAAAAAAACAATTTTATATAGAAATAATATCATCCATGGCAGAGAGAAAGATAAAAGATCTTATCTCTTTATAAACGACGTTCCATATCATCATATCCAACGTCGTCGTTTGTTTCGCAAATTCCTTTTGATTGAATACATTTTCCGCAAGTTAGCCCTCGCTCACACGTATCGCAAAGTTGTCATGCCGGTTAAACAAAGGGTGCGCGTTCGAGCATCGCGTTAGCAGGTTGTTACAAACAAGGTTTACCTTAACTTCGTGTATATCATCTCCCTTCTTTCACGCTCCCTTTTATCGCGAGCTGTGCGAAGACGTAGGTAGGTA